TTGTTGTTTGGCAGGCCAGGCTGGATTGGGGCCCACCAGCTATGTGACTGGCGCCTTAACTGCTTGAGCTATAGGCGCCGAGCACCAAATGAGATTGTTAAATCTCTAGGCTTTGAGTCTGCAGAGTCCTTGAACAAAGTTTTATAGCAGTTATTTTTCTAAGACTGACTAACAAAGGATCTGGATTGCATTGAAGCTGAGGAAGTTGTCTTCTAAAGGTGGACCCTGTCCCTTTTTCTTTTGCTGAAAAATGATTAGGCTCAAATAGATCAAAACACTGGGTGATTTCATTTTTCATTTCCCAAAATTTCCATAATCTGATTATATAGCAATTATGACTGTTTTTAAACCCTACCAAAATTAATGGCTCCCCACTCCCTTCTTAGCCTTAGGCTTTATTATGATTCTTTTATGTACAATGGAACGGAAGTTTCAGGACTCCAACGTTTTTTTTAAACGACCCCGTTAGTACGTATCCAAAGCAATGCCAAGAAACATGCAGTTATTATACATACTGCTTCTAGCCCTTTGTCAAAGATATGAGTACTTCAAATATCTGAGCTGCCTTGGACCCCTAAGCACATTCACTCTAAAACGGGGACAGAGGGGTTTGCTTACAACCCACATTTCATATGCATAATTCATTGACTGCTTCACAGGGGAAAATTTGTTTGTAACATTCTCTGTCGCAAAAATGGCATAAAATTCTAATTTTCTCACATTGTATGGGAATCACATCATTTGGAGCAAGTTTAATATGGACATCAAATCACAATTTCTTTACATTTTTTAAACCCCTAAGAGATATGCCTCTCTTTTTTCTTTAACACAAATGTTAAACTAAAATCATAATTTCTGGACAAGAGGCCTGTAGAGCAAAAGGTTGCCATCTAGGTATGATGCTTTAATCCTAGTGTTGTATTCTCATTACCTCAGTTGTGGGAGGATAAAGCTATGTCAGAAAGCAAAGAAGAAACTACTTCCGCTGTTAAGTTATACAGCCAGGCCTCACAGAGAAACAGAATGAAGTTCAGATAGAAAGGGAACTGCACCATTCTGCAGCATCTCTGATAATGTTCCAGGAGGCAACACGTTGATTCACTTGATGGCAGGGTAATAGAGGCATCAGGTACAAAACATGGCATAAGGAGATGCAGAAGGGGCTCGTGGACATGGCAGGTGCCTCCCTTGATCTGCAGTTTTTCTGCAGCTCTTTTTACCTTGACTTCTGCACCCATCCAGATGGGGAGAACGGCTTCAAGTAGAAATCATTTCAACTGTTCCACATTTTTAATCCCTTCTGAATTGCTCTGCATTTTAAAACCAGAATATAGAAAATGAGAGGGACTAAAGCACATAAATAACAGCTAATGTAAGTTTGAAACTAAGCCTTATTGTGTATGTGTCCTGGGAATTCAGATCTGGAAAGCATCTGACTTAATTAATAACATCCATAACTTACTTGATGTTACAAATATACTTTAATTTTTTTTTTTTAACACAGAGTCTTGCTTTGTTGCCCAAACTGGGGTATAGGGGCATCATCATAGCTCACTGCAACCTCAGACTCCTGCCATAGCCTCCCAAGTGGTTGGAACTTCAAGCACATGCCTTAACTCTTGGCTAATTTTTCTATTTTTAGTAAGATGGTGGGTCTGGCTCTTGCTCAGGCTGGTCTCGAACTCCTTGACCTCAAGTGATCCTCCCACCTTGGCCAAAGTGCTAGGATGACAGGCATGAGCCATCATGCCAGTCCCATACTTTAAATTTCGAAACTAACTAGATATTTGTCATATTATTTACATTATCTTTAGCAAACTTTCCTAAATATCCAAGTTAATTTTTCAAGTGGAATGCACTCATGTGTCTTGAAACTAGAAATTTAATTTTTGCTTCTGTGTTTCTTAATTTAGAAAACATTTATATATAATAAAATTATGAAATGTCTTAATTATTATAAACTTAAATTGTATTTCTCCTACATTAAGCCCAGAAAATAATCTTTTTATTTTTATTTTATTTTATTTTTTTTTAGAGACACAGTCTCACTTTGTCACCCTCAGTAGAGTGCTGTGGAATCACAGCTCATAGCAACCTCCAGTTCTTAGGCTTAGGCAATTCTCTTGCCTCAGCCTCCTGAGTAGCTGGGACTAGAGGTGTCCACCACAGTGCCTGGCTATTTTTGGTTGCAGTTTGGCTGGGGCCTGGTTCGAACCTGCCACCCTCAGTGTATGGAGCCAGCACTCTACTCACTGAGCCATAGGTGCCACCCCCAGAAAATAATCTGTAATGGATTTGTTCATTAGGACATTTTTAGTATCAGTATAATTTAAGTGTATTTTCTAGTTCATTTATGACAAATGCAAATAAAATGAGGCAATAACTAGGTTGATATTTTACTTTACTTTTTAATGGTAATAGTTTACAGCCTATTGATGATACTTAAGGTTCTTTTCCTTAAATTTGGACTGTGGTTAATCCAATCAGACCTTAGGAATTTATATGCTTAAAGAAGCATAACTTTCAGAGGTAGTTTCTTTTTTTTTTTTTTTTTTTTTTTTTTGAGACAGAGCCTCAACTTTCGCCGTAGGTAGAGTGCTGTAGCATCACAGCTCACAGTAACCTCCAATCCTAGGCTTAAGCGATTCTCTTGCCTCGGCCTCCCAAGTAGCTGGGACTACAGGTACCCACCACAATCCCCGGCTATTTTTTGGTTGTAGTTGTCATTGTTGTTTGGCAGGCCAGGGGTGTATTAGAACCCACCAGCTCTGGTGTATGTGTCTGGAGCCTTAGCCGCTTGAGCTAAAGGCACCGAGCCAAGAAGTAGTTCTATTTATTGCAAATGTGCCCTTAGTGAAAATGATACTTGGCTCGGCGCCTATAGCTCAACCGGCTAAGGCGCCAGCCATGTACACCTAAGGTGGCAGGTTCGAATCCCCAGCCCGGACCCGCCAAACAACAATGACGGCTGCAACCAAAAAAAAAAATAGCCGGGCGTTATGGCGGGCGCCTGTGGTCCCAGCTACTTGGGAGGCGGAGGCAGGAGACTCGCTTGAGCCCAGGAGTTGGAGGTTGCTGTGAGCTGTAATGCCACGGCACTCTACCCAGGGGGACAGCTTGAGGCTCTGTCTCAAAAAAAAAAAAAAAAAAGAAAATGATACTTTATAAACAAGGAAGTCGAATTAAGACCAGCATTTGAAAGAAGAAAAATTCAGATAATTTTAACATTTGGGGTTTCGGGTGGTGCCTGTGACTCAAAGAAGTAGGGCCCAAGCCCCATATGCTGGAGGTGGCAGGTTCAAACCCATCCCCAGCCAAAAAACTGCAAAAATAAATAAATAAATAAATAAATAAAAGAAAGGAAGCTTTAAAAAAAAAACATTTGGGGTTTCTTCTATGAATAAAGGAGAATTAAGGTTTTACATATAAAAATAAAACTTCTTTTTCAGGTATGATTATTCAATATTATTTAATGCCTTTTCCCTCTATTAATGTTCCTACTATAAGAAAATTATAATTTAAGACGGTTCTTTTGTTTCCTAAAGAAGAACAAAAGAAAAAACTCTTTGTTTAAGAAAAAAATAATATGAATTGAAACCTAATTCTGAGTTTCTATTAATTTAGATACAAAAAATCATTGAGTTTTGCATAGGATATTTGCTTTTAATATGTATGCTGAGGAAATAGGTACTCTTTTTAAGAAAAACTTATAATCAGTGTTCTCTTTGTTAAACAGTTACAAAATATAAATGATAAATTATAGCATTTCTGATCTTGTTGCTATAAACTAAACAGCTTTGTCTTCAGAAATAAGGTAAGGAAAACAAACTTATGAAGTATGTACTTCTTAAAATGAAGATGAGTTACTGTTCCTTTATAATTTTGATAAACCAGGAAATAAAGTTAATAAACTGAATGAGCATGAACGATCCATCTCTCCACTGCTTTTTGAAGACAGTCTTCCTGATTTGCAGCCCTCAGGAAATCCTTTCCAAGTGAACTCTGAAGAACAAAATAATCCTCAAATACTCGAAAACTCGGTTGTTTTTGGAACATCAGCTGAGGAAGTGGTAAAGGAAATACGTTTCAGAATCGAGCAAAAAACAAAACTGACAGCCAGTGCAGGTATATAAAAGGATATGCGTGGCCAGTATGATTATAATTTTGCTACTGGCTAATACAGGTGTAATGTTTGTAGTTTCTGATTATAAATTATACAATATTTTACTTATCCATTCTTTGATTCAGCCTCTTACAACTTCACCTATTTAGAATAGCTATGAATTTAGATGAATTGGAATTATGCAGACAAGCATATGAGCCGGAAGAAAAAACTATCATAAATCTTATGTAGCTATCCTCTTTGAAATATATTTTAATTGATTTTGCATATAATACTTGATTATTAGTTTTTCCTTGGGAAAGTTCAGGCCTGTCCAAGATTATATTGCAGGAGAGAACCCAGATGGCCACAAGATAGGAGACAAAAGAAATACCAATTAGCAATGTAACAGTCTAGGACTATCTGGTAAAAGGAAAAATGGGTTTATATATGTCAGTAATCCCTGAGAGCATCACTTTGTCATAGCGTAATAGCTGATGTTCATTATGAGGACCTTGAATTGTCTTATAAAAGCCATATTATGTTAATTTAATCTTTCTTTCCATACCAAAGCATAATAATGAATAATAAATTTTAGGAAGATGTATATATTATAAAAATTGAAACAAACTGTTTAAAAATATATTTTAATAGACCTATTTCAAATTATCTTAATCATTGAGATTCTTATAGATTATAAAGTCACCTTTCTGAAAAACAGTAATTTGCTTTGTAAGTAACATAAAAAGAATGAGCAAATTATCCTTATTTTAAATATACTATAACCTAGAATCTATGATTTTTTTCATTACATGGATAATCTATGCAAAAAACCTTTTCAAAGAATAAACATTCATCCTAAATTATATTCCTAATCTTTTCTGAGAGTAGATGTAGAACCACTATAAAACAGTCCTGAATTCCTACTAAAGGTAGTGAGTAAACCAATAATAACACTTATTATTACTCAGCTCAGAAACTACTCTTAGGCTTTAAAATACTGTGGTGAATTAAATGTTACTAATTTCTGCTTCCACAAAAACTAATAGAATTTCTTTTCCTATAACCATAGCAGCACCTAGGGATATGGATGGTAATCAAATATTTTTAAAATAACATTAGATATCATTTCAGATTTTTTTCACTTATTATTTTTTTCTGTTTCACTATTGCATGTTTAAAAATCATATATGTCAACTTCTTTGAGTCATCAGAGTGTTTTTCTTTTAAGGCATTGCTCCAAATACAATGTTAGCAAAAATATGCAGTGATAAGCATAAGCCAAATGGACAATACCAAATTCTTCCCAACAGAGAAGCTGTGATGGACTTTATCAAGGACTTACCCATTAGAAAGGTGAGATTTTATATAAAATTTATCATCTATATGTGCTCTCTGAATTCTGAAGAGATATTGTTTAGGCTGATGGTAATTGTTCTTTGCTGACAAGTTTTGAAATAATAGATAACAAGCAGGAACTATAATGGGTGATTAAATTTGAGCTTGAAAAAAATCTTTCTATGAAACCTTTAAAGTGAGGTTTAGGAGCTTATTTGCTGGAAATTTTTGTTTGTTTGTTTTGTTTTTGTTGCAGTTTTGGCCAGGGCTGGGTTTGAACCCTCCACCCTTGGTATATGGGGCCGGCGCCCTACTCACTGAGCCAAGGAGCTGCCCTGCTGGAAATTTTTAAGAAAAGAATAGATGATAGACTTTCAAGTGATCTGCCAAGGATAAGGGAAATAAAAAGAATATTTGTAAGAGTCTTTTCAAATATTGCTTTACTTTATAAGATTGCTACCAGATTAATAGGCATGAAACTTCAAAGAGATTTAGAATTGTAATTGTTTTTGACAAAAAAAAAAAAAGCCAAAATACTTTACAGTTTTTTAAATGGTAAATGTATCCCTCAGGGCTTCCAGAAAGGGTATATTTTATAATTCTTTATTAGAGCTTTTAGCTTTTTCTATACTTGTAGACTTTTTTGTAATAATTATACCATATGCTTCCTATATTACAGTACATGTTGTTTTAGGACAGTGTTTCTCAACCTTCCTGATACCGCAACTCTTTAATACAGTTCCTCATGTTGTGGTAACCCACCCCAACCATAAAATTATTTTCGTTGCTATAGTACTTGTTACTATATAAGGTGTGACTATAAAGCAATGTTTTATAGTGTGTTTTTCAGTATGACTAGACATTCTGTTAAAAAATATTCTGGAGTCAAAAAACATTGGAGTATACCACTCCTGGTGGGTCAGTGTGTATTCATAAATCTTGCATTAAAAAGTTTCATTTAAATGTGTTTATCTCATTGCTTCTTGGCCTCTGGGTAAGAGCAAGTGTAAATTTGTTTATCTCACCATTTCCCAAGTTTATATGACCAAAGCTTTCCTTTCTTAATGCCTTTTCAAATTTCATGAAACTTTAGTTTAGGAAATGTGATCAAAAAGTAATTAAAGTGGGTAGGGCATGGTGGCTCACTGGGAGCTACTCTGGGAGGCTAAAGTCAGTGGATAGTTTAAGCTCAGGAGATTACTTGAGTTCAGGAGTTCGAGACCAGCTCAAGCAAGTGTCAGACCCTGTCTCTACTAAAAATGAAAGAGCTGAGGCAAGAAGATCTCTTGAACCCAAGAGTTGGAGGTTGCAATGAGCTGAGATGCCATGACACTCTACCAAGGGTGACAAAGTGAAACTCTGTCTCAAAAAAAAAAGAAAGTAAATATGACTTGTGAAGAAAGTCACATTATTCATACCTTTTATTCATTATAAAAGGTAATGCAAGTTTAATCTGAATTCTTACCTTCCTGTAAAAATCTATTAACGATAAATATTGATTCTTTTTTAGGTTTCTGGAGTAGGAAAAGTTACAGAGAAAATGTTAAAGGCTCTTGGAATTATTACTTGCACAGAGCTCTACCAACAGAGGGCATTGCTTTCTCTCCTTTTTCCTGAAACATCTTGGCATTATTTCCTTCATATCTCCCTGGGCTTAGGTTCAACATACCTGGCAAGGTATCTATATGTATAGTTGTTCTGCTTTTTCTTTATCATTTGCTGAAATACCAGTTTTAACCATTGAAATGATGCTATATTGATACGAGTTTTAAAATTCTTGTAGACTAATTTAATTCAGAATACAATATTTGAATTAGACTCAACAGATTGGATGTAGGAGAAAAGAAAAACAAGAATAAAGAATCACTTCTGGGTTGATGGCTTTAGCTGTTGAGTAAGAAGAACAAGAGGAATGAATGATGGCTACTTTCTTTTCTGTCCCTGCCTTGTTCTTTGTTCAGAACATAAGGGAAATTCTAGTCATCAGGTTGTTGAGGAAAGAGAGATAGGTCATATTCGATATTTCACCCTTTAAGCAAAGAGATTTAGTGATTCTTTGAAAGCCTGAATGAACTAACTACATTTGTTTTCTTTTCCAGATTTGTAAATGATTCATTCATTCAATACTGAGTACCTTACTTTGTGCTGGGCACTGTTCTAGGCACTGGGGATACATTGAATAGAACAAAGTCCTGCCTTTATGGAGTTTACAGACTAGTGTGAGAGATAAAAAATAAACAAATAAATGAAAATAAAGCAAAAGCACAGAAAATGACTTGGTGTTAAGTGTGGGAGTAAAGGGCAGTCATCCAGAGGCAGGGACCTGAAAGAGCCTGCCATACAAAAGCCAAGAGAAGAGGGAACCAGGTAGAGGAAAGGTTTTATTCCCTGCTACTGTTTCATCCAGGTCTTAAAAAGAGGAACCATAGTTGGGGTAGGTGAAAAGAAGGGAATTTTAAAAGAATGGGAATTATAGAAGTCAGCATTAGGCAATATTTTTACAATTTGTCATCATCCTCTTGGCCTGCCCTCAAATAACTCCATTATATTCTTGTACTTAAACTAAAAGACAATAACAAAAATCACTGGGGATGCATATAAAATTGATTAACCAATTAAGCCTGCTAAATCTTACAGAGATTGTAAGACTTATTATATTGCTTTTCTCATTTCTTCCTGCTCATCATTCTTTTGAGTCCATAGTTAGATCTTAAGTGGACATAATGAAAGACAAAGATATCACAGCACTATAAATAATCTAGTATTTGAAGATAATAGGAATAAAACTTTAATCAAAAAATTATCCTCTTTATATTTCCATAATGCTGAAAAGCAATATAGTTCTAATATGAAATAGCATATGTTAACCTATGATGAGATGCAGGTAAGGCTTTTAAGTGAAAAGAGCAAGCCTGCCTTCCCCATCTATATTCTCTATTCTTCTACTCTGCTTTGTTTTTTTAAAACTGAATATTTCTACCATATTCCATATTTACTTCTGTATTTGTTTATCTGTCTCCCTCCACCAGGATATAAGTTTCTTAAGGACAGATACTTGGTCCATGTTGTTCATTATTGTATCTCCAAGTTCTAGACAGTGCTTGAGTCTTAAGTTCACTAAATATTTGGAAAATGAATAATTTGCATGTCATTTCAACTTTTCAGTTTCAAGTCCTATCAGAGCAGCTAAAATCCAGCCAAACTTGGTGGTTCAGATTTTCCAATCTTCATCCTATTGCTGTGTACCGAATACTGATTGAGGTTCTATAAAGTGGTATAAATGAATAAAGAATAGGTGATAGAAGAAAAAAGTTAATGTACTAGGTCAGAAACTAGATAATTGTTATTATATTATTTAAAACCTAGTTTTATCCTATAAATGCAAACTGTTACACAACTACCCTCCTATTATTTTTTTTTTTGGAGACAGAGTCTCACTTTGTAACTCCCCTTCCCCTAGAACTGTGGTGTCATAGCTCACAGCAACCTCAGACTCTTGGGCTCAAGCCATCCTCCTACCTCAGCCTCTTGAGGAACTGGGACTACAAGTGCCTACCACAGCACTGGGCTATTTTTAGGGATCGGGGTCTCCCTCTGGCTCAGGCTGGTCTTGAACTCCTGAGCTCAGGCAATAGACCTGCCTTGGCCTCTCGGAGTGCTAGGATTATAGGCATGAGCCACCACACCCAGCCCCTCCTACTGGTTTTTATAGGTTGTGGGGTTTTTTTTAGGTTGTGAATTTTGATACTCAGGCTTTTCATAGAAGGAATTTATAATATCTACCTATTTTCAAATTTGTTGTTTTTAATAGATATAGATGTTCTCTGGTGATAGTCTTATTTTTAGATTTAAAAAGTCACTATTTTTCATGGTGAAAATTTTAATTAAAAAAATAAGATCTAAAGAAATTAAAAAATGAGATATCTAAAGGGTAATTGACATGTTAAATCCTCTTGGCTAACTAAGGAACTCAGTCTTCTTTGAGAAAGACAGTAAGGACTTCTTTTTCTTTTTTTCATTTCCAGGGATGGAGAGAGAAAAAGTATGAGCGTTGAGAGGTAATCTTTTATTAATTACTAATTGCTCATATTTAATGTTGTTTCAAAATAATCTTTAAATTGATTTTTAGGAAAATATTATTTGCAAATCACAATAACAATTTTCAGCTGTTTTCCTATCTGAAGTAAATACCCCAATACAATGCTTTATCATTCTCAGTTGCTATATTCTCAGTGGAGACATTTAAGAAACACTGACCTAGTACAAAGTTGTATTCATATTTCACATATTTTAACTATGGTTAGAAAGCTGAATGACTTTCACAAGATAACACAATAAATGGCTTTGATAAAAATTGCTTATTTAGGCTTTAATTTAAATAAAAGCAATCAAAGAGAGAGAGAAAGAATCTTCCAAAAATGAGATAGTATTATCTTAACAAAATTTTCTTCCATTTGTCTTTTGTTATTGAGAATATTACTAGATATACAGGAGTATATTCTCTGCTTCTTTCTGGAAACTCTCCTTTGCTTTTTCAGAACTTGCATAAGAACATCAAATTTGGTATGGCATTAAGCGGAGGGAGATTAAAATTCATACCGCATGCAAAGAGCTACCTTCTCTAATGTATATGTAAATAATTCTTACAGTCAAAAAAAAAGGGCTAGGAAATCAATAGAAAATATGAACAAAGATTTAATTTGTTAACAGAAAAGAAAACACAAATGGCCCTCAAAACAAGGGAAAATATTTCCATGCTCACTTATAATTAAATACAGATTGAAAGTTCTCTGAAATAACTCTTCTCATTGGTTGGTAAAGATTATAATATACTCTATTGGCAAGACTGTGGGATTGAAATTGGTACAAATTCTAGAGAGGGGTGTATTAGTTTCTTACTCCTTTTTTAACTAATTATTGCAAATGTAGTGGCTTAAAACAAAACATTTATTCTCTCTTCATTTTGAAGGTTAGAAGTCCTAAAATTGAGATGTTGGTAGGGCTCTAGAGGCTCTACCTCTAGATAGTAGAGCATTATCCAAAAAATCCATTATTTTACAAAAAATAGAGGCCACCAGCATTCCTTGACTTGGGGCTTCAGCATCTTCTCTTTCTTTGACCCTCTTGCCTCCTTCTCATAACGACCCTCAGGCTTATGATGGGTACACCTGGATACTTCCTCGTGATTTTATGCAAAGTCCCTTTTACCATGTGAGGCATTAGGTTCAAAGATTGCAAGAATTAGGATATTGACATCTTAGGGACCAGTCTTTGGCCTACCACAGAAGGCAAGAAATTTGGCAACATCTGTTAAAAGATGTTTGATACCATAATTCTTTTTTTAGCAATTCATTCCACAGATGTAATCACGTCATTTTACACAAATACAAGTTTATTCATTGCATATTTTTATGATAGCAAAATATTGAAAATGACTTTAATATCCATAGAGAATTGGTTAAATGATTTTACTTTTCTAAGTTAGAGTATTATGCTGCCATATAAAACTGAGGAAATTATTTGCACGTAAGGAACTCTCATCAAGATAATTGAGAAAAGTAAGATGCATAACAATGTATCTATACAAAATGAAAGGCAAATGTTTGCTTATCTTTGTGTGGAATGTTTCTGGAGGAATTCATAAGAAGCCATTGTCACTAGGGCAGAGAAATGAGTAGCTGGGATATTGGAGGAAGGGGGACTCTTTACTGATAAGTTATTTGCTGAGGGTTTTGTACTCATCACTCTGGTCTCTTAGTGTCATCTTCTTTTATGTTAACATCACATATAAACTTCTTTCAGCATTCTTGCACATGAATTCAAAATATCTTTAATCTTACCGGCCCTCCATTTTTAGTTACCTATTAGACAGCTCTGTCTAGCTGGCATGAACCAAACCTTTAAATTTCCTTAAAATCATTTCCCATCCAGAAAATCTGTATGCAGAAATTGGACTGATGTTCTCATCTATACTTTCATGTCTATATAATACACATACACACAAATTGTTTTAAGTTCTGGGGGCAATTACCATTATCTATTGGTGATTTTAATCATTTGTTTTAATATCCTAGAGCAAGAGCATAAGGTTGCTCCTTTGCATGATTTATGTAAATCTTAGGTATTTTTGTTTAATTATATTACAATTCATCTGAAAACTATTTTGTACTTCAGAAAATATAACAATGCTAAGCCGTGCAAATGTACTAAATCATTCCCAAATTATTCTGAATTATAATTTACTTTGTACATCATCCTTGTTTTTGTAGGACATTCAGTGAGATAAATAAAGCAGAAGAACAGTATAGCTTGTGCCAGGAACTTTGCAGTGAACTTGCTCAGGATCTGCAGAAGGAAGGACTTAAGGTACTTTATTTTGATGTGGTATTCTTAGTTTTTAAATTTTTAAATAAAAAAAACTTAAAACTTAAATTGTTTAATAAAAAAGCTTAAAGCAAGTTGTATATCTTTATAGGGTGTATGTGATGTTTTGATACAGGCATTAAATGTGAATTAATCAAAGCAAGGTAACTGGGGTGGGTATCCATCACCATAGGCATTTAACTTTGAGTTAGGATCCTTCTAATTTTACTTTTTGGTAATTTGAGAGTATTCTATAACTTCTTGTTGATTATAGTCAACAAGTTGTACTGTCAAATATTGTTCATTCTATCTAACTATATTTTTGTACCCATTAACCATCCCCACTTTATCCTTCCCTCCCTGATCCTTCCCAGCTTCTAGTAACCATCATTCTACTCTGTCTCCATGAAATCCATTGTTTTAATATTTAGCTCCCACATAGGATGTCGGACAACTAAGTTCATAAATTCATCCTAGAAAAAGTGCTACATGCCTTATTGCTGAATATCACTACAGACACCTGTGAAGTACTCCCCGTGGGAAGCTATGCGCTGACACCAGCACTTAGTCCACCCTTCAAAGCAATTTTAGAATTATTTTTCTGGAATGACCATTAGAACGCATATGAATAAGAACATGTGAGATTTGTCTCTCTGTGCTTGGTTTATTTTATTTAACATAATGTTCTCTAGTTCTATCCATGTTGCTTCAAATGGCAGAATTTCATTGTTTTTTTACTATGTTATATGTGCTACAATTTCTGTATCCATTCATTTGTTGATGGATGCTTAGGTTAATTCCTTATCTTGGCTATTATGAATAGTGCTATAATAAACATGGGAATATGGATATCTTTTTGATAGACTGAATTCCCATTCTTTGAATATATCCCCGGCAGTGGGGTTACTGGATCATATGGTAGTTCTATTTTTAGTGTTTTGAGGAACCTCCACATTGTTCTCCATAGTGATTTCAGTAATTTACACACCCACCAACAGTGTATGAGGGTTCCCCATCTCTACATCCTCAACAGCATTGCTTATCTTATTGACAAAAGCCTTTTTAACTGAGATGAGGTGATATCTCACGTAGTTTTGATTTGCATTTCTCTGATAATGTTGAGTATTTTTTCATATACCTATTGGCCATTTGTATGTCTTCTTTTGAGCAATGTCTGTTCACATCCTCTGGCCATTTTTAAATTGGATTATTTGATTTTTTTCTTACTGAGTTGTTGGAGTTGCTTATATATTTTGGTTTTAAATCCCTTATCAGAATAGTAGTTTGCAAATATTTTCTCCCATTCTGTGAGTTGTCTCTTCATTTTGTTATTTATTTATTTATTTTTTTTGCTGTGCAGAAGTTTTTTGGCTTGATGTGATCCCTAGATTACATATTAATGATGAATATAAATTTGTAAACGTTTGAATAGGGTATTCCTATCCCCAATGATCTGACTCATTTCTAAGATCTATGATGAGGTCATTCTTTGAAGAAGCAAATTATGAGGCCAGAGTAGTTTCAGTATAATTCCAAAGGACTTTATACTGCCTTAGGAGAGTGCATTTGAATAAATTTAAAACTAGTTTCATGCCAGATGTGGTAGCACATGCCCGTGGTCCCAGCTATTGCAAGGCTGATGCAGAAGGATCACTTGAGTTCCCTGAGCTCTGAGTTGTAGGGCACTATGCTGTTTGGGTTTCTGCCCTAAGCTCGGTATCAGTATGGTGATCTCCCAAGAGCAGGGGATCACCAGCTTTCCTAAGGAGGAGTGAACAGACCCAGGTCAGAAATGGAGCAGATCAAAACTCCTGTGTTGGTCAGTAGTGGGATCATGCCATTGAATAGCCACTGCACTCCAGCCTGGACAACATAGCAAGACCCCCCAAATCTTACCAAAAAACAGTTATATTGGCATTAGAAAAGAAGGCAAAGGGAAGAATTTCCCTAGAAATGTATTCACATATTATGAATGACTTTCTAATCATTCCTTAATGTTTTTCTTATGTAGACATTGACTTTCTAAAGTAGGCATTTTATTTCAAGGTTCTTAACACATTGAGAAGAAAAGCCTGTAAGACTTGAGCTTTCTCTTTTATAATCTTTATTCATAACAATTCATGTTTACTATTTTACCAATACTCTAAAATCAAAGGTAGAGTTATTACAAAGTGTAATAAAAAGGTATTAAAAAACTACTGCATGGGGACAAATATGCAATTTGGTAGAATAAATAAGACTTAGGGGGCTCGGTGCCTATGGCTTAAGCGGCTAAGGCGCCAGCCACATACACCTAAGGTGACGGGTTCAAATCCAGCTCAGGCCTGCCAAACAATAATGACGGCTGCAACCAAAAAATAGCCAGGTGTTGTAGCGAGCGCCTGTAGTCCCAGCTACTTGGGAGGCTGAGACAGGAGACTTGCTTGAGCCCAGGAGTTGGAGGTTGCTATGAGCTGTGACGCCATGGCACTCTACCCAGGAGGACAGCTTGAGACTCTGTCTCAAAAAAATAAATAAATAAAATAAAGACTTAGGGTTCAATAGTTCAGTAAGATGACTATACTTTCCAGTAATTTCTTGTACATTTCAAATTAGCTACAAGAGAATAGTTCAGATGTTTCTAGCATAAAAAAAAGAGATTTAAAATGACATGAGCAGTCAGGCACAATGGCTCACACCTGTAATCCTAGCACTTAGGGTGGCCAAAGCAAATAGGTTGCCTGAGCTCACAGGTTCGAGACCAGCCTGAGCCAGATTGAGACCTTATCTCTAAAAATAGCCAGGCATTGTGGCAGGCGCCTGTAGTCCAGTTACTTGGGGGGTACTGTGGTAAGAGAATCACTTGAATCCAAGAGTTGGAGGTTGCTGTGAGCACTGATGCCGCAGCACTCTACCAAGGGTGACAGAGTAAGACTCCATCTCAAAAAAATAATAAACTAAAATAAAATAAAATGCTAGGTATCCCAGGTACACTGATTTGATCTTTACAGATTATATCAATGTATTAAACTATTGGCTCAGCGCCTGTGGCTCAAGTGGCTAAGGCGCCAGCCACGTACACCCAAGGTGGCGGGTTCGAATCCAGCCCGGGCCCTCCAAACAACAATGACGGCTGTGAGGTTGCTGTGAGCTGAGATGCCACGGCACTCTACCCAGGAGGACAGCTTGAGGCTCCTGTCTCAAAAAAAAAAAAGAAAAAAATATTATTACGTGTACCCCAAATTGTTTTATAATAAAAAGTAACTAAAAAATATGGGATATCTGATGAATATTTTTGTCTTAATCCTTTTCTATCATACTTTGAATACAAAGTATCCCAGAGGTTGCCATAAATTGGAGTAATTAACACACTTATTTTATATTTTTTAGAGTTTATATTTATATATAAACACAGAAATATTTGGTAAAGTTTTATAATGAATATTTTGTAAATAAATAAAGATAGATACATTTAGCTATAATTTCCCATTTTTCCTGTGTATACATGGATGGCGACCTTTAGGCCACTGTATATAAAGAAAATTCTTTTTTAAAAAATATCTTTTTTTTTTTTTTTTTTTGAGACAGAGTCTCAAGCTGTCCCCCTGGGTAGAGTGCTATGACATCACAGCTCACAGCAACCTCCAACTCCTGGGCTCAAAGTGAGTCTCCTGCCTCAACCTCCCAAGTAGCTGGGACCACAGGCGCCTGCCACAACGCCCGGCTATTTTTTGGTTGCAGCCATCATTGTTGTTTGGCTGGCCCAGGCTGGATTCGAACCCACCACCTTAGGTGTATGTGCCTGACGCTTTAGCCACTTGAGCCACAGGCGCAAGCCTAAAAAAGTCTTATATAAACTTAATTTTAGAATCATTTTAGACTTCTGGAAAAGTTGCAGAAATAATGGATTTTCAGTATAAGTATCATCCAGTTTCCTCCATTATTAACATCTAATATTACCATACTAAATTTATCAGAAGTAAGAAACTATTAATAGCATATTGCTATTAACTACAGACGTTATTTGGATTTTACTAATTTTTCCATGATATGTCCTCCATCTGTTCCAGGATTTAATCCAGGGAACTACATTGTATTTAGTTGTCATACGTCTTCAGTCTCTTGTGGCCTGTGACATGTTCTTTTCTTTTTTTCATGACCTGATAGTCTTTAAGTAGTACTGTCCTGGTATCACACAGAACTCCCCACTGTCTGGATTTGTCTAACGATTAGATCAGGGTTATATGGTTTTAAAGAATACCACAAAGATGAAGTACTCTTCTCCTCATATCCTACCAGGGGGCACACGATGGACAGATAACATCATGGATTATGTTAACATTCACCACTTTGTTAAACCAGTATTTGCTAGGCTTTTCCACTATGAATTTACTATTTTCACCTTTGGAATTGAGTTAGTAAATCTAACTTACCCTCAAGTGAGGGAAGGCAGGAGTTAAGTTCTACCTCCAGGAAATACTAAAATATGTATAACCTAAAATTTGCCACTTTAACCCTTGTTAAGTGTACAGATCGGCAATAGTAGATATATTCATATTATTCTGCCACTGTTATCGTCTTCTATCTCTAGAACATTTTTATCATGTCCAACTAAAACTTTGTACCCATAAAACACTAGCTGTAAAGGGAATTATTACATGTAATTAATGCTTAGCATAATATCTGGCATGTAGTAGTCACACAGTAAGTATGATTTCAAAGAGGCACCTGTAGATTTTTTTCCCTTCCCTTTTAGGTATTAAATCTCTATAAAAGATTCAACAAAAAGAAAAACAGGTAACTTTGCCCTTTATATGAGGTCTGACAATGAAGTTAACAAACTTGTAACCATGTGCTTACTTTGGCAGCACTGTGTAAACACTGTAGCATAAAGAAAAGACAGATATTTAAAATGACATGAACAGCCAAGCATGATGGCTCAAACCTATAATCCTAGCACTTTGGGAGGCCGAGGCAGATAGCCTGCCTGAGCTCACAGGTTTGAGACCAGCCTGAGTCAGATCAAGACCTTGTCTCTAAAAATAGCCAGGCATTGTGGCAGACACCTGTAGTCCACCTACTTTCTGGACTGTAAGTTTTGTAACCTTGGTGTATCAGTGTCTCACAGCTATGTTAGTGTCAACATATGGCTGTGTCTAGCTGAGGGGTGTTTATTATTATTGTTGGATGCTTTTACATGCCATCATAAGAATGTCAGAACTTGAAATAGAACAACAAACAAACATTAAATTTCTTGTTAAACTTGCAAGAATAGATGTGAAATCAGGGACATATTAGTCCAAGTTTATGGAGGTAATGCCATGAAGAAAATGGCAGTGTACAAATGGATTAAATAGTTCTTCAGAGGAAAGAGAAATTGTCACTGTTGAAGAGAGGTTAGAGCAGCCAGTAATGAGCAGAACTTACGGAAATATTGCAAAATTCACCAAATTGTGCATCAAAATCATCAGCTGACTGTGAGAACCAAAGTATACCAAGTAAACATTGATAGAGAAACAGGAAGATCTTAACTGAAAATCTTGGCATGAGAAAGGTGTGTGCAAAAATGGGCCCAAAGGAGCTCAAAAACAAACCAAAGCAAAGGAGATTTGAAATTGGCCAAGACCTTTTGGAGAGACAAGACTATTGTGTTATGGTGATGAACCATGGGTGTACCAACACGACCATGAAGCAAAGCATCGAAGTACACAATGAAAATCAACCAATTCTCCATGACCAAAAAATTCTGTCAGTCAAAATGAAAAGTCAAAACAATTTTGCTAACCTTTTTTGATATGAGAGGGATTATTCCTTACGAATTTGTACCAACTGGACAGTTAACCAAATTTACTATTTGGAAGTGCTAAAAATGCTATGTGAAAAAGTTAGACAAAAACAACCTGAGCTTTTGCCAGCAACTTATAGCTCTTGCATCACGACAATGCACCAGTTCAGACAGCACTTTCTGTGAGGAAGTTTTTAGCTAGTAAACAAATAACTGTTGGGAACACCCTCCCTACTCACCTGGTCTGCCTCCCCAGTGACGTTTTTTCTTTACCTGAAGATAAAGGAAATATTAAAAGGAAGACATTTTGATGACATTCGGTACATCAAAAGTAATATAGTGATAGCTCTGATGGCCTTTCCAGAAAAATAGTTCCAAAATTGCTTTGAAGGGCATTCTACGTGCTAGTATCAGTGCATAGCTTCCCAAGGGGAGTACTTTGAAGGTGATTGTAGTGATATTCAGCAATGAGGTATATAGTACTTTTTCTAGGATGAGTTTGTGAACTTAGTTGTCAAACTTCATATAAAGATCTTTTATATAAATTCAGTTAGAGATAGAATAATAATTATTGCTGACATAAGACTTTAGCTTGTTTATGGATTTTCACTATTCTTCACAACAGTTTTTATCAGCAGTTTTTCTCACCATTTCTTATCACCAAGTATAACCAAATGCTTGGTTATTCTTCTATATTCTTATAAGACCTTTCTGAATGTTTCTGACCTGTAAATAACATTTTCTAAGTTAGAAAGCCATGTATAATGTATTCTAACTGTTACAGGGTAGAACTGTTACCATTAAGCTGAAGAATGTGAATTTTGAAGTAAAGACTCGTGCATCTACAGTTTCATCTGTTGTTTCTACTGCAGAAGAAATATTTGCTATTGCTAAGGAATTGCTAAGAACAGAAATTGATGCTGATTTTCCACATCCCTTGAGATTAAGACTTATGGGTATGATTTCTCATTCTTTTTCTTTTTCTGCTAGATTTCCTCAAATAATTAACTTTGGAAATATAGTCCCTGACTTCATGATGGTTCAAGTCATAATTTTTTGACTTCACGATGGTGCAAAAATGATATGCATTCAGTACTCTCAACTTACAGTGAGGTTGCATCCTGATAAACCCATCATAAATTGGAAATATTGTAAATAATATTTTCATTTTCAATGGCTTTATTGGGACACAACCCCATTGTAAGTCAAAGAGCACCTTCATTTTGTTTCTTTTTTTTTTTAAACTGGTTATTATTTTTGTGTGTGAGTGTCTGAGATCTTTTTATAAAATTTCAGATTAACATGAGGGTACAAATGATTAGATAACATTGTTTGCATTTGTTAGGTAAGGTCCCTGTTTGAATTTCTTCCCCTGCTGCTGTCATTTATCTTAATTCTTAGAACCTGACATATGTGAAGACATAGTCATTAGTTTAATTCTAGTAAAAACCAATTAAAGTTATTCTTTTCTTTGTTACTTAATGAAATTATTGAGGCTACTTACATTCAAAATTCAAAACTTTTCATCTTTTAGAAGGCAATTCAACGCACATAGAGTATCTTATTCCTTTGGTGATCTAGGCCAATACTTCGTGATCAAAAACTGTAAAGACCAAATAGTCTCACATTAATTCAGTCACCTGGTGTCTCCTGTTGCTTAAAATTCTCCAAACTTTTGATTTCAGAATTATGGATAAGGAATTGTAATGCTATAAAACCACATTTCTGCTTACTTTGTGGTAAAAGGTAACAAGCCCTGTTTTGAAACTAGACTAGGTAAGAGCATGTGTATGGATCAGCACTCCAAAGGCCCACTTCATTAGTAGTGGGTCCATTAGCCATATTTTCATATGTGAAAGACATAGCACATACTGAATAAAGTGTTAATTACAAAATCCAAAGAGCAGGTGTCTGTAGAAGTATCATTCATAATTGCCCAAACTTGGAAGTGACCAAAATGTCCTTCAGTAGATGAATGGATAATCTGTGGTACATCCAGACAGTGCAAGTAATATTCAACACACAACACAAATGAGCTATCAAGTGATGAAAAGACATGGAGGAGGCTCCACTCCCATAACTTAATGAGTAGGCCGCTGGCCACATACACTGAGGCTGGCCTGTGTAAGCCCGGCCCTGGGCCTACTAAACAACAAAGACAACTGCAACCAAAAAATAGCCCTGGGCCTTGTGGCAGGCGCCTGTAGTCCCAGCTACTTGGGAAGCTGAGGCAAGAGAATTGCTTAAGGCCAAGAGTTTGAAGTTGCTGTGAGCTGTGACATCACTCTACCAAGGGCTACATAATGAAACTCTATCTCAAAAAAGAAAAAGAAAGAAAGGATATGGAGGAAACTTAAATGAATATTAGGTGAAGGAAACCAATCTGAAAGGGCTCTACAGTATATTATTCTGGAAAGCAGAATAGGGAAATAATAAAAAGACCAATGGTTGTTAGGGGTTAAAGGACAGAAAGAGGATGAATAAGCAAAGCACAGAGGAGTTTTAGGACAATTAGATTACTCTGTATGATTATATAATGGTAGATACATATCATTATAAATTTGCCTAAGCCCATAGAACATATGACACCAAGAGTGAACCCTAATGTAAACTATGGATTTGGGGTGGTAATGTGTCAATGTAGGTTCATTGACTATACTCTATAGAGTGGGGTGATGGCTAGAGATATATGGGAACTCTGTCTCTTCTGCTCAATTTTGCTGTAAGCCTAAAACTCCTCTAAAAAATAAAGTCTTTTTTTTAAACAAAGAGCTAAACAATCCTTATAGTGGACTCCAGGTAGTTACTTAGTATTTAATGGTATTATGTGTCAGATAATAATTGAAAGTCCTATATAATCATGCCAACTCTAATAGATAGTGAATATTTAATAATGTCCTTTTCTGTTTTTAAAGGAAAGTATATTTTTACTCATACTATCAGCTATGAACAAGTTTCCTTTAATTTAGAAAATATATCTAGTGTTGCTTTTCAGCCTTTTGCTTCTGTCACAACAGGATTATGTAAAATGTTTTTATGCACTGTGAGTGAATTGGCTTTGTTGGATTTGAAATTAATTGTCGTTGGTTTAATTTAGGTGTTCGGATATCTAGTTTTCCCAATGAAGAGGACAAGAAACAACAACAAAAGAGCATTATTGGCTTCTTACAGGCTGGAAACCAATCCCTGTCAGCCACTAACTGTATACTAAAAAAAACTGACAAAGATCAGTTTGTAAAACCTCTAGAAATATCTCAAAAGGAGAGTTTCTTTGATAAAAAACGATTAGAAAGGAAATTGAGCCACCAAGACGCATTTAAAGAAACCATGAACAAACAAAGCCTACAGAAATCACAACCATTCCAGGTTTTAAAAAAGATGAATGAGAATTTAGAAACATCAGAGAATTCAGATAACTGTCAGATATTTACTTGTCCTGTTTGCTTTAGGGAACAAAGACTCATTAGTCTGGAAGACTTTAATAAACACGTAGATGCATGTCTTGATGGACCTTCAATCAGTGAAAGTGCCAAAACGTCCTCGTGTTCACATGCTTCCTCTACTGAAGTTAACAAGGAAGAAAATGTGCATTATTCTTTTTCACTTTGTGAGAAGCAAAATTATGAAGCCCATCTGAAAAACAGAGAAATCACTTTAGCAAACTGTGTAGATTTGGAGGGTGCATTAGATAGTTCATCTAAAGCAGAATGTGTAGATACTTTAAATAACAGGCTCAGCAAGGAGGAATATTCTAGTCTTCCAAGGAAGTCTTTTAATATTGAAAATGGTCTTCAGAATTTTTGTACTGTTTCACTGGAAAATGAAGACCTTACATTGTTAAGTAGGCAAGAATCCCACCAACCTTATTCATATGAAGTAATAACAGGCCAAACTCTGATTTGTCCTGTTTGTAATCTAGAACAAAAGACTTCAGATCTTACCCTGTTCAATGAACATGTGGATATTTGCTTAAATAAAGGTATTATCCAAGAACTGAGAAAGGATAAAGTGAATCCAGTTAATCAATGCAAAGAAAGTTCCAGAAGTACTGGTGAGTTTGTAGTCATTTTAAATAACTTGATTTTCTAGGAAAATATTATATTAAAATTAGTAAGATTATTGTTAAGTCTGAAACATATGCACACAGAAATTCACAGGTAGTTTGTACATGCTATCATTTTCCTTAACCATAGTTAGCATAACCCAAGCCAACAGGTTGCCGATTTTGGGAAAACTTTGATTTGGGCTTGATTTAGCACAGAATGAGCTCAAAAGTTTAAGGAGTTAAATGACCTAATCAAAAAAGAAATTCCTTTAGAGATCCCTTATCAAGGTTCTCTATATTATATATTATAACTATAATTATATAGCTAGAAAGCCTCTTTTGATTATTTTTCAGTAGGAACAACTCTACCCCAATTTCAAAAATAAAATTAAGTGAAAGTACAAATAAAATTAGTGAAGTACAAACAACTTATCCAATAAAGTTGGTCTGTGGTATGCATAGATATGAACTGTATTGCACCAAGGATCAGTCATAACCTCTTAAATTTGTATATAGTTTCTCAATTGTTTCATGTTATTCATATTTTCCTGACTTTTCTTTCCTCTAAAGGTGGCTCAAGCAGAGTACAGAAGACTGTGACAGTAACAAAAAGGTATGGCTAATTTGAGCTTTAATAAAGCTGCTACAAAACTGTCATATTCTAAAGTCTAATTTTTAGGAGATATTAAATTTTGCTTTTATAAATCATTAATTAGCCAATGTTAAAATCAATTATTTTCTTTTCTAAAACATCAAGTATTGACTAAAAAATGTCAATTATTTTCTAAAATCTCTTTGTGAATTTTAATTGTGTGTTCTTTTTCATTCTAGGCCAGGACTGATGACAAAGCACTCAGCATCAAAGAAAATAAAACCAAACAATTCAAAACATACCCTTGATACATTTTTTAAATGAACATTGGACATTTCATCATTTGTTTTTAATTGAAACTTTTTAAATAATCAATGAATTTATTTTTCCTCTTTAAGTTTACAGCTTTATCTAGTGAAGGCAAGTACAATAATCTTTTTTCAAATTACATTGCCTTTCTAAGAATTTGGAATATATACTAATTTACTTCTGTGTATCTTTTTTTTTAACTATGAAAATTCTGCTTCCATGGTACATCAATTGGAAATCAGTCTTAGAGATCATTTTAAAAAGAGGAATTAAGAATAGAATCAGAAAGTGATTTCTTTTTTATTTGTATAGTAAATATAAAAACATTTTTATAAGGGCTCTCAGAGACTCACATAAACCTATTTTGGCATAAGAATTTTTTAGCACTTAACCATTTTGCTGGTATTGGACTGCTGTATTTGATCCTATTATCTTTAGATACCTCATAAGCATTCATAATTATCATAAGTTCTATGGAAAAAATTAGCTTAGCTTAACTAGCAAAAGAGATTTTTTTACCTTCAGGAAAATAGTATCACAGTATTAACTGTGTAAAAAAGATGTTTGCTTAAAATAATTATTCCTTTGATTTTTCTTATTTAAGATTCCTTTATGGCCTCAGTAACACTGCAAAGTCAAGTGACTGCATTGTCAGTTTCCTTGCTCATAAAAAAAAAAAAAGATTCCTTTATATAATATAATGAATAAGCACTTGATTCACTTTAAAAAATATTTATTCTAAGATTCCAAGGAATTTTTTCATATATATATATAGGACTTTTAAATGGCAGTATTTCATTTTTTGGCAATTATGTTGATACTTTCCACAAATCTATAAAGGATAAATTGCACGGTCAAGTTTTATGGTACTTTACAAGAGGAAATTGTGCAATTACAAAGCTTAAGTGTATTAAAACATCTCCGTTACATTTCTATCAACATTTTTTGCTAATATTTGTGAAAGAAGGCGATTTAATAGTAGTTAGCTTAAGTTGTTGTTCTAGACACTTTTGTGTTATTAATGAGTTATTACTTTAAGGAACTGAATCTTTTGTTCTCTTATTTTATTTTATTTTTTGAAACAGAGGTCACTCAGTTGCCCTGGGGTGAAGTGCTGTGGCATCATAGCTCACAGCAACCTCAAACTCTTGGGCTGAAGCTATTCTCTTGCCTCAGCCTTCCAACTAGCTGGGACTACAGGCACCCACCACAATGCCCAGCTGTTTTTAGAGACAGGATCTTGTTCTGGCTCAGGCTGGTCTTGAACTCCTGAGCTCAGGCAATCCACCTATCTCAGCCTCCCAGAGTGCTAGGATTATAGGCATGACCACCACACCTGGCCTTCTCATATATTTTTGTTTTCTTTTTTTCCACTTTTCATGTTGTAGCTCATTATTTTGATATGTATTTTATATATTTTAATGTTTTAGGGATAGTTTAATTAAGGTCTTTCAGAGTTTGGTAAGGCGATAACTTGATATTTAATTACTAAATTATTTGAAATTAGGCTTAATGCTTATTAGCATGCCAATCTCATGCCTGATGTTATTATATACTGTGATGAATACAAAATTATAGTATTATGGTTCTTGATTGTGTGATTTACTCATGTAAAATCTGTATAAAACTAAGTTTAGTGAAAAACCATTAAATGTATTAAAAGTTAGATGACATCATATTTGTTTTATGTCTTGCCTCAAGTTTATTCTTATTGTTTCAATATTAGTACATACTGAATTATCTTCATTTAAATGATTCATTTAATTTGCATAGTATCATTTAGTGACATTTCATAATTTAAAATGAAATATAAATTTTTTAATTGATCAATTAGGCAATAGAGATGATTTCCTTAATTTTTTATTCTCCTCCCTGCTGATGCTTTCACTCTTGTTTTCTCTGCCCCACATTTTCTTTACTATTTTGTCTAATCTATCCAACTCATTTTCTTTTTATTTTGTTTTGGTGCATTTTTTTAAAATACAGCAAAACAATGAAGAAAAATAAGTACCATAATCTTACCTACTTAGAGGGTCAAAATATTTAAAAAAAGAAACCTAGGAAAACATATTTTTAACACATAACTGGTAAAAAGAAAAAAAAAGAAAACTAGTGTCTGGAATATATAAATGATTCCTATAAAAGAATCAGTAAGAAAAATGAGAGAATATTCTCTAACAGTAACAATCCCATCTACCTCTGAGCAAGCGATATGAACAGAACCTTCTCTGATGAAGACAGATGAATGGCTAACAAACATTTGAAATAATGCTCATCATCCCTGATCATCAGAGAAATGCAAATCAAAACTACCCTAAAATATCACCTAACCCCATTGAGAATGCTGCACATCACAAAGTCTCAAAACGACAGATGCTGGCATAGATGTGCACAGAAGAGAACACTTTTTACACTGCCGGTGGGACTATAAGCTAATACAATCTTTTTGGAAGAAAGCATGGAAAATCCTCAAAGAACTCAAATTAGACCTCCCATTTGATCCTGCAATCCCATTACTAGGCATCTACCCAGAAGAAAAACAATTTTATCATAAGGACATTTGTACTAAACTGTTTATCGCAGCTCAATTTACAATCACCAAAATATGGAAATGGCCTAAATGCCCACCAACCCAGGAATGAATTAACAAGCTGTGATATACCCATGGAATACTTTTCAGCCATTAAAAAAGATGGAGACTTTACGTCTTTTCTATTAACCTGGATGGAAGTGGAACACATTCTTAGTAAAGCATCACAAGAATGGAGAAGCAAGAATCCAAGGCACTCAATTCTAATGTGAAGGCAATAGATGAGCTAATTCAAGGAGTAGGGTAGGGGAATGAGGGATCAGGGAGAGGGGAGGAGGGAAGGTCATGGGAGCGGGACAGTGTATGGCACATCACTTGGGGGCAGGACACAATTACAAGAGGGACTTTACCTAACAAATGTAATCAGTGTAATTCTTTGTACCCTCAGTGAATCCCAAACAATTTTTAAAAAATGAAAGAAAAATGACAGTTAATAGACAAAAGACTTTACATTGCATTTCATGTGAAAGAAAACACAAATGTCAAGAAACATGAAAACATTCTTGGCCATATTAGTATTTGGGAAATGAAAAATAAAACCATAAGGAGGTATCATTTCTCCCCTATTTACAAAAATGAAATGACCCACTGATACTAAATTTTGGTGGTGATGTGAACACTTTGAAAACAATCACTTCGGAAAACAGTTTAGCCTTCTCTAGTAAATTTGAAGATGTGCACATTCTAAAACCCAGTGATTATACTCCTAAGTGTATATTTTGGCAGGGCGTCTTCCATTTGCTTTAGATCCATTGTTTCCCCTCGTGTACCCTGCTCTCAAATGCCCAGTAGTACACCAGGCTAATGGTGGAGCGATGGGGAGATTTGAAGGAAGAAGGAAGATGAGATGGTGGGTTCATTTTCTATTTCCTTTTTGTAGGATCATCACAAACTGGTTAGACCTTTTCACCAAAAGTCATAACTTCTGGTCATACTGTGTTTTCTGCTTTCTCTTCAGGTTCTGATAACTGTATTCTTCCCTTGTTCTCAGGCCTAGGTAGCAACAGAACCTTTTATTAGCCACAGGATGTGCACTGTCCTTTAAATTTTCCCTTTGAGTGCATGCTGCCTGCACATTTGTAAATGACCCTGTCCTTAAACTCATCTCATATTAAAAACATTTTTTTTTCCTGGCCAAGCACTTTGGGAAGCTGAAGTGGGAGGATGGCTTGAGGCCAGGAGTTCAAGACCAGCTTGAGCAGCATAGCAAGACCCTATCTATAAAATTTAAAAATTGGCCAGACTGAATAAAAGACTTTTTTCTCTTAAAATAAAAATAAAAATTGGCCAGGCATGGTGGTGCACCCCTGAGGCTAAGGCAGAAGAATTGCTTGAGCCCAGGAGTTCAAGGTTGCAGTGAGCTATGATCACACTACTGCACTCCAGCCTGTGCAACAGAGCAAGACTTTATCTCAAAACAAAACAAAACTTTTATCCACTTTATTTCCACCACTAGCTCTACCTACCCCATATTTGTTTAATTCTGTGTAGCCTTTTAGCGCTCTTAAAAATATCCTTTTCTTTCCATTCGTTTTGTAAAGATTTCTTCAGTTTCCTAAACCCTGACCTTCCAAATGATTTGTCAGTTTTCAGTGTTCTAAACCATTTTGTGCATTTTTTACAGATTAGCTATAAACAATGTTTTCCTACTATCACTCTTAACATTAAAAAAAGAAGAAGAAGAAATTCCCTTTAAAAACTCCTAGATCTTGGGAGCGGCGCCTGTGGCTAGGGCACCAGCCCCATATACCAAGCGTGGTGGGTTCAAACCCTGCCCCAGCCAAACTGCAACAACAATAACAAAATAGCCGGGCATTGTGGCAGATGCCTGTAGTCCCAGCTACTCTGGAGGCTGAGGCAAGAGAATTGCCTAAGCCCAGGAGTTGGAGGTTTCTGTGAGTTGTGTGACACCACGGGACTCTACCAAGGGCAATAAAGTTAAGACTGTCTCTACAGGAGAAAAAAGCCTCTCAGATCTCTCCAGTGTTAGTGGTAGGGTGAGGAGAGGAAAGTGATTTTTAGCGTATGATGAGTTATGGTATAAAAACTCCCACTGAGATTGGGGACCAGCAGGCCTTGTGCAATAAGATCTAAACCAAGATCTCTGATAACAGAAACTGGCCAAAACTAGTTAGAACCAAAGTGGCAATGAAAACATGCTCTGGGCTCGGTGCCTATAGCTCAACCGGCTAAGGCGCCAGCCACGTACACCTAAGGTGGCGGGTTCGAATCCCCAGCCCGGACCCGCCAAACAACAATGACGGCTGCAACCAAAAAATAGCCGGGCGTTGTGGCGGGCGCCTGTGGTCCCAGCTACTTGGGAGGCGGAGGTAGGAGACTCGCTTGAGCCCAGGAGTTGGAGGTTGCTGTGAGCTGTAATGCCATGGCACTCTGCCCAGGGGGACAGCTTGAGGCTCTGTCTCAAAAAAAAAAAAAAAAAGAGAAAACATGCTCTGGTTACTCATGCTTATAGGCTAAGTATGATGCATCAGCATACTAAAAGAAACTCCCACCACTGCCATGACAATTTACAATAATCAGGACAACCCCTGACAGTTACTCTATGATATAAAAAGAGGAGGGACCCTCAGTTCTAAGAACTCTCCTCCCCTAGTTTAGCATATAAGCAAGAGATAGCCATAAAAATAGTCCGCCAATAGCCCAAGGGCTGCTCTGCCTATGGAAGAGGCTTTCATTTGTTTCTGTGCTGGTTCAGTAAACCTGTTTTCACTTTACTCTTTCACGTCTGAATTCTTTTCTACAGTATTCCAAGAACTCACTTTGCCTACTGGGCTGAACCCAATTTTGGTGTTTTACTGTGACATTGCCAGGACTTATTTCAAGCTATATGGTATCAACCAGTTTACAGAATTCCTAAAAATTTAACAATCTGCTCTTGCAAGCCTGTGCAAACTAGCTCCTGCATATCACTGTCCATGATGTTCTCAAAACACTGGCTAGGCATTCAGGGGCAATCAGTCCCACTGCAGAGCTTGTAGTTTCCTGAATAGACCAAGCTATTTCTCACTCTGGCATCTGTGTTCCATTGCTTCCTCTACCTAGAGTGCCCCTTCACTCTCCCACCACACACAACCACTCATCTTTCAGCTCAGTGCAAGGACCATTTCAGCAAAGAATTCTTTGCCTTCTGGAGAAAATGATCAGCCACTGCTCTGTGCTCTTCTTTCCCTACAGAGAGCCTAGAACAGTCTGAAGAGACTCTGAACTGTCTGTCATTTGTCTCCAAATTCCAAGTATTCAGTATAAGGCCTTAATAATCATTTGTTGACACATAAATGAATACATAGTATGTGTCCAAAGAGAAAGATTTTTTACTATCTTATTGTTTTTCTGGGATAAGACAGGGTGCTGACTGATGAAGGCAGCTACACTTAAAATGAGCTCTAAGGGGTTGACATTCCAGAAAGAGAATTCCATTTCTTTCCCTTTATTGGATAATGGGTTGCTTTATAAATGTTTTATTACCTTATTCTTTTAGGGTAGCTTGGAAACATTTGGAAGAAGGCTTAAAATATGACTGTTAACCTAGGGCTAAAGAAAATGCTTTTTGGAAAAAGATTCAAAATATTTTGAAAATCATACCTGGTTGTTATCTGATGCTGAATTTTATTTTTTTAATTAATGTTCCACTTTGAAAAGCAGCAACGTATTTGAACACCCTTGGTGCTGGTAGGATTTTAGTAAACTTCACAGAGAGGTGGTGTTTATTTCCCTGGAGCAAAAAGTGTCCTTTCATCGTGTAATTAATGAATAATCACGTACTTTATAATACATAACTGGATTAACAGCTGATCAAGAAAAACTCAAATGATATTATAGTGAATATTGGAAACATTCCATTTATTAAGCAAACCATTATATTGAACTGTTCCCCTTTTGAATGTAAAGTAATTACAACCCTCTTATCTTGCTACTGCTGCTGTTGGCAGAAGACTCAGGGAGAGAGAAGACAAATTAGAGGCAAATAGTATTAAGCCTTTCCTTCCAATCTCAGTCTCTAAAGTGTATGATGATTTCAAACTCTCTCTCTATATATATGCACACACATACATGTACATACTACTTCTGCCAACCCCATGCCTTTTATTTAATTCCATCTACTCTTGTAGGGCCTCTTGAAAACATTCACTTCTTTCCATTTCTTTTGTCAGGTTCTTATTAGTTACCTAATCTCTACCCTTCTAACTCATTTCTTAGCTTTCATCAGTTTCTTTCCCTGTTGTACATCATCTTGAACATTTCTAGAGACAGTACATTCCTAATATCACTCTGACATTCTCGTGTGCATATGCACACATACACATACCCCTTGCCTGAGCAAGAACAAGACCCCCATTTCTATAAAAAAAAGAAAGAAAAGAAAAAAATTAGCATGGTGTGGTGGTACACTCCTGGGGCCAGTAGTCCCTGCTGTCCAGAAGACTGAGGCAGGACTGGAGTTGCAGTGAGCTGTGATCAGGCCACTGCACTCTAGCCTGGGTGACAGGGTGAGAACCTGTACCCCAAAAAGAGAAGAAAGAAAAAGATAGCAAAACAACTTACACTCTTGACCTGGACACTGGTTGGAAGGAGGAACTGCCACTGAGAACTTAAACCACAAACTCAGACACATGTAAATTTGTAGTCTGAATTCACATAAATCGTATAGTCCCAAAAAGCTCAAGCAGAAAATTTAATTAAAGTAATTTTAGGTTAGGATTGTCCCTTGTGGCTGGTAAAAGAAAATGCAAATACTCCCTGGAAGAACTTAATTCAATTCAGGTAGATGATATAATATTTCAATTAAAGAGATACTAATATCTGAAAATGAGCAATTCAGAATTGATGCTCTACAGTGTATCTCCCACCCTTGTAGTTCACACCCCCCCAGCAAGGGATAGCCATATGACTGAATTTTAACCAATGAGTTAAAAAAGGAAGTATTGTGCATGATAGCTTCTGGGAAAGTTTCTTTCTCTTTGCCTTTTCTTCCAATTTCCTTCCTCCATCCTGTTGCTTAGAAGGAGATGCTGCTATTTACACCTGAACATTACAGTTGCCCCAGTAATGGTGGAATAGTGGGCTGGAGCGTATAGTTCCTGAGGACTTTGTAAAACAGAGGTATCATCAGCACTGGCCTGCACACTCCCAGACTTTCACAAGAAACAGAAATGAAAACCTTATTTAAGTCAGAGTTACTTGGGTTTCTCTGTTAATTATAGTTTAATCAGTTGATATTAGGACATAAAGGTTATTAAGACACCTTTCTCCTCAAAGAATGAAGGGCTGCCCCCAGGTGATAGTTTCCATTCAGTGTGGGAAGGGCTGTAATAGGGGAACATAGAAAGTGGGAGTATAGGGAAAAATCACCTAATAGAAGAGGGCAAAGAGAAATTAAGGAAAGGGTTTTTGAGAAGAAATCCTTTAACAGTTCCTGGATTTAAAGGTTTACTTCATAATTGAATAAATTCCCTTAGTCAAGACCTTCCTTTTCAAAGAAACTACAGCTTTCAGGACTAGTGGGCAGGTTACTATTCACCTGGCTGAATTATATTCCATATTTATTTGATAACTACTTATTGCAGGCCTATTTTAGTCAATTGAGATGCACCAAGGTACAAACTTTTAAAACTCCCTGTCTGTGAAATTTACATTCTAGCTGGGGAGACAGACAGTAAATGAACAAACACAGGCTATTTCAGTGACAAGTGCTACAAAGGGAAGAGTCAACTGCGTAAGGGAATGGATTGTGAGGGCAGGGGTGACTGCCTCAGAATAGTAAGATGCAGAAAGCTCCTCTAAGGTAGTGCCATTTAGCCTGAGACCTTAATGCTCCCAAGGATCAAACCATTAAGAAAACTTAGAAATGAGGGAGGGGAGAAAGGGTTCTAGGCTAAGGGAAATGAAAGGCAAATGGCTCTGGAGCGAGAAACTCTAGATGAGGATCCAGAATAGAGAAGAGTTTCAAGGCCGGAGGGCAGAGAGACCTATAGGGCCAAATCATGCAGGGCGTTAACTTTTATGTACTAGCATACTTAGAATTAATCCACTACTTGAAAAAGTAAATAGTATTCACGGTAAATAGCCCAAGCTCTCAGGGAAGTTAAGGAAATGAAATCCAGTGAAGTCTAAGGTTTACAAAATGCACTGCTTTGGGGGTTTTGTCTTACCTGCTGGAGTAGGATAAGTATCACACACTTTTATAAGGATATGTAGCATTAAAATGATGTTGCATTTTCTCTTGTCATTGATAAGAGGATTTTAACAAAATTAAATTGGTTGGTTCAAAATTTGAAAGGAAATTGTATGCCATGAATTGGATAAACAATTCAGATCTTTCTGTACTTGGCTGTGTAATTTCCATTGGTTTGGTGCTATTTCCACTGTTATTCTTTTTTGTGTGTATTTTCTTCTAATTTTTAGAATTTTAGTTGTAAACATATTATATGTGGATATAATTTTGTGTTCTGTTTCTCTGTTTACAAATTATAAACACTTTCCATATTAGAACATAGTCTGATATTGCTGCATAATATTCAATTCAATATATTTGCTACCGTGTTGATGATATCCCATTTCACTTTTTTAAATTTCAGATTGACATAAGGGCACAAACTACTAGGTACATTGTTTGTGTTTGTTATGTCAAGTCCAAGTGGTAGGTAGCCTTTCACCCAGGAGGTACACCATGTACCCCTACATTGTGCCTGTCAGCATTTCACGTTTTTCTTTTTCTTTTTTTTGAGACAGAGCCTCAAGCTGTCCCCCTGGGTAGAGTGCCGTGGCATCACAGCTCACAGCAACCTCCAACACCTGGGCTCAAGTGAGTCTCCTGCCTCCGCCTCCCAAGTAGCTGGGACCACAGGCACCTGCCACAACACCTGGCTATTTTTTGGTTGCAGCTGTCATTGTTGTTTGGCGGCCCGGGCTGGATTCAAACCTGCCACCTTAGGTGTATGTGGTTGGTGCCTTAGCCACTTGAGCCACAGGCACCGAGCCGTTTCACATTTTTCAAAGGACCGTTTGAAGTTACAGGTGGTGTTCCAAATATGATAAATTACATTTTGCCAATTTTTTTAACTGAAAACTTTTTATTGTTTTGAATTTAATCTAATTTGGTGCATAACAATTTGAAGGGGATAACTGAAAAGTTTAAAACAAACATTGATATTATATAATTTATATTAAAATGATACACATTTTATAAATTGGAAAGAATACAAAATAAATGAAAACCAGATTACTTCTTTTATTTGAAGTTCATGGGGGGGGGGTGTCAGGATTTGTTTGCTCCCATAGTATTTCATTTTTGAAAACAATTAGCCAAGAAAGATTATAATTGCATTATCATCAAATGAGAAATTTAGAGTCTTATTTCATTCAAAAGAAAATCGTGGAAGCCCATTTAGAAATGATGTAATACGGAAGTCCCAATAGTGTTGGTTATAAATCCAACCTCAACATCTTTTACATTTGTACAAAGAAGAGGTAGAGTATGAGGCGGAGAGTTTATTCGGGCTTGTCGATTTCTCAGGATATTTTATTTTGGTAGAACCAAAACAAACGCTAGCACAGTGCACGCCACACCTGAAGGCAGATTGTCCCAGGCCAGCCCAAACCAGGGCAGGGCTGCAGAACCAGAGGCATGTCGCCCAGCGAACAGCCCTAAACACAGAGCGGACTCGAGCCTGCGCTCCCGCCCAGCAACCTGCCCTCGGTTAGGTCTGGGCCCTGCTCAGCTCTCTGAGCCCGCGGGGCGACCGTGAACGCCGCCCGGCGCGCCCCGGGCCGCGGAGACGCAGCTAAGAGGCTGCTGGTTGGGGCGGCTGCGGCCGCGAAGGGACAGAAGGACTACCAGGGGGGCGCGGCCGCATCGCTCTGGAGGGGTTTGTCCCGGATCCCGAGGCAGGAGGGCCCTGGAGAAAAGGAGGCGACAGTTGCCGGACACGAGTTCCGTGAGTCCCAAGACCAGGTCTCAGAAAATCAGGCAGTGGCAACGCCCTCCTGACGGGCGGTGGGCGAGCTGGGTTGAAGGGACTCGAGAGGGTACCCAGAGGCGCGGGGGGGAAACTGGTGCGACAGCTCAGTTCTGAGGACCCTAAGTCCATCTCCCACCATCATAACCTGTGCGCTGCTTTTCAATTTTGACACACACACCCCACCCCACCCCCCCGTTTTGGTTCATATTCCCCACCCTCTATTGTGCATGGAAGGGAGGTATTACTCTGCCAAATTAAGGCGGAGGCTTTTTTTTTTTTTTT